TTAAAATAAATAAATTATATAATAAATTTAAAAATTCTGAAAAGAAGAAAAATAATTATAACATAATATTGAAATTAGTAATAATTTAATATTTTTACATAATATTGTAAATAAATAATTTCACTTATATCAAGTAATAAGCCGAGAAAATAACTTTCAAAAAAATTAATATTTATTAATAATAATTTTAAACTCTTAATCTGTATTTATTATATAATTATATATACTAAAATTAATATTTATTGTATTTTAGTTATTATTTATTGTTTTTTGTGATAAATGTATTTTCAATGATTATGTATAAATTTATTTTGTTTTGTTATTTAATAAAAAACCTTCAATAATTATTGGAGATTAAACTACTATTATTGAAATTTTTAAATTTAATTTATTGTACTTATTATATTTATTGTATTTTTGTTATAAATTATTGATTAATATTTATAAGAGATTAAACTATTATTTGAGATTATGCTATTTATTGATTAAGTTAATATATTTTTAGTACTTATTGTTTTTTCGTAATTATTGTTTTTTTCATTATCAATATATTTTCAATAGTTATTTATTTTCGCTATAAATTTTTAATAATTATTGGAGATTAAACTATTATTATTTATTAGAGATGAGACTGCTAATTTAGCTGAAATTATGAGTGTTCATGAGTTGGTTCGGTTTAGTTGTAGGCTACTTGGCCAACCAAATTGATCTAGTCAAGTTGGGGAGTTGGTCAACTGAAACCAATTGACCTTTTGTGAAAACTAACACACTCAAGTTGTATCGGTTTGGGTCGATTCTTTTGTTTGGTCAGTTGGTTCAAAAGATTTAAACTTAAAAATTAAATTAAATTTTAAAAATTATAGTACAATTATTAAAAAATAAATTTAAAAATTAGATTTATGATATAAAACATTTTAGACTAAGAAATATGGGAAATTTCCCACTTTTCCATTATATTTAAAATATAAAATATTAATATATATTCCATGGTTAGGTTGTTCGATTTTGGTTGGTTTACAAATGGCCAAAGAGAAACTTATCTAACTTGGTCAAATTGGGAAATTTTTTAACCAAAGCCGACCTAAAATACTAGAAAACCGACCAACTCAAGTCGAGTTGATCGGGTTGGTCTGTTTCATCAGTTTGATGAATAAACCTAACTAAAATTAATTATTGTTATTTTTGTATTATAAAAAATTTATTAAAAGTAGTATATAAAATATAAATAATTATTAGTTATTTAAAAGTTGGCAATATAAAACAATTGTATACTCTTATAAGTTCACATCTGTGCCCCACAAGGGGGCGCCCCACAATGTCCCACAGCATCTCCCTATCATTTATTGGGAACATCTCCCGATGATGGCATCACCGGTTCTAGTACTATCATTGGGAGATGTTCCCAATCCACAGTGGAAATGTGCTATGGGACGTTGTGGGGCACCCCCTTGTGGGGCGTAGATGTGAACTCTACTCTTATGTGTTTCTATTAGGGTCATTTACTAGAACATACCTTATAGTTTTACATATTTACTTAAACACCTACCTTATAGTTTTCATTTTACTAAAACATCCCATATATTTTACAACTTATTTACTTAATCAACTTTTCATTAAGGAGTGTTTGTTTTGCCATTAGGCCCATAATTTTTTATTCCAAAAATACACTTAACACTTTTTTTGTATATAAAACAAAATTGACCAAATATAGCCAATAGAGTGGTTGCCCATGTCTTATTAAGGGCAAAAGTGGTATTTTAATTTTTATTTTCTTTTGGTTAAATTTATTTAAATGAGCATTAGGGTCAACACTATCATTTTCCACTATCATCTTATGGAAGATTAATTAAATCTATTGCACATTATAAGTGGTGTTTTAGTAAAATGCTAACTATATAGTAAATTTTAGTAAATCCATGAAACTATAAGGGTATTTTAATAAATGACAATTTCTATTATTTAGCTTTCACTTAATAAATCATGTGCATCGCACAGGTCTCCGCTAGTATTTTTAAAAATATGGTTGAATATCTTCTAATAGGATTTTCAATTTTAATTATTTTAATTTTATTTTTTAAATAAAATAAAAAACAAAAACAAAATAGTTAAGATTATAAAAATCACGGGGAATGAGGATCCCCAAGGGGATGGGATTACATTGTCTCCATTAGCGGGGACGGGGACGGGGACGGGGATGGGGACGAGGATGGGGAGAGGCTTCCCGTCCCCACCCCACCCCATTGCCATTCCTAATTTTTGGTTTGATAATTCTTAAATTTTGTGAAAAGGTTAATTTTGACCTTCAAAATAAAAAAAAGGTCATTTTGGATCCTATTACCTATACTTTGGTAAAAATGATATTTGTAGGCAAAAAAATAGATGGCATTTGAAATGACATAAACGGATCTGTTACATAATGTTGTGTGGCACCGTTAAAATTTGGAGAAGGCCACTTTCCATCATAAAGTTTGAAAATGAACCATTTTAATAAAGTTAATTAAGTAAATTATTTTAGGGTTTAATTAGATGACCCTAAAGTATAATAAAGTATTTAATTTATTTAATGAATTAATAACGTTAATTAATTAAATGACCCTACAATATTTATTTAACTTAATTAAGAAAATTATATAAATTACACTAATTAAGATAATTAAGTCAATTAAGCAATTAACTAAGTTAAATTAATGAAGGAAATTAATTAGATTAAATAAACAAAGCTAATCAATCTAAATGAGAAAATTAAGCCAATTAAACAAGGTTTTAAAAATTGGCCAAAAATAGAACCACTTTGGCCATTGACTTTTGGGTCAACAGTTCGATCATTTGATCCGAATTGAACAACCATGATGTTTTGAAAAATAAAAAATATAATATAACTAAAATAAAAAATGATTAAAACCCATTTATTAGATTAAATAATTTAGCGGCTCAATCGTCTAGAACAATAGTTTGGTTCCTAGGTTGAATGGTTCGACCACCCATATGGGAGGTTGTGCATTGAATTGAGTTAAGTTATGGTGATTGAGCTATGGTTGCATATCATCACCTATGTTCAGAACAAGCTACTTGTAATAGCTCCACTTTATAGTCATTCCCTTCTTTTATTATTATTATTTTTTTTTTTTTTTGCATTCGGAACATTAATATTGGCTTTTCGGATTTTCACCAAACACGACTTATATCAAATCTGTGTGGAACCTAAGTTGTGTTTTGAAAGGCCTTCCAAACGGGCACTAAAGAATAAACATAGGAAAATTTACTGCCCAAGCGGGGCATAAAACAAATACCTCCACAAGCATATTGTATTCATTTAAAAAATTCAAAATTTTATACCTTTCAATTACAAATCTCCGTCAACTCCACTGGCCCACATCCACGTCGAAATACCCCTTTCATAGTATAAGGAAATATTCGGAATACCCCTTGTACACTATGACTAGAAAAACCCAGAAATATCCCTCATTTAACATCCCGTCGCGGTTAAAGGTAAACCATTTAAATTTTCTCTCTCCTCCTATATTTACCCACTTAACTAACCCAACTACCCAAATAGTTAATCAGTAAATCCTCCCTATTCACTTTCGATCCTGCCTTCGACCGACCCAACGTCCTTCAGTTATTTTGATCACCGGCGCTCTTCCTCTCTGTTTTTGTAGTAGTTCGTCCATATTCGCTCGTTGCATAGACGTAGACAAAAGACTGACGATGAGGTGAACTTTATGTTCTTCCCCGGACTACATTGAAACAAGGTATTTCAATTAAACTGGTTGTTTCAAGTTTGTATTGCAATGTTAAAAAAATAGGAATATCTTGTTGTTGGGCAAAATAAGTGATGTTTTAATATATTTTGGATTACAAAAATTAGCTCTTGCTCACTTGTAATTTTACATCAGAAAAATTATTTGTCCATCCATTGTTTTTTGTCTAAAATATTGCGTCTGATTGAACCAAGCCAACATTCCAATGTGTATCCTGTAACCCACACTTGCATTCAAACCCCATCCACTCCTAGTCCATGTTTTTCATGTTTAGTATCTTGTATGTATGTTTTTTTTTTTTATGATGAATGTTTTTGTGTATTTACAATTTGTTGAAGGTAAATATTTTGAAACCAATGGCATCGAGGGGAGTTTGCACCAGATGTTCACCAAAATGCTTTAATGACCTTATTTTAAACTTGTAGTTAAGGAGAGAGCACAATGAAGCTTTTAATGCCACCCCCTTTGGACAGCTACTTTGCATTCTATCAAGCACTTTTGATAAGGCACTTATCATGGAGATGGTACAACGGTGGGACTCAAAGACCATTTACCGACTGAGACATTGCACTAATATTGGGACTGAGGTTAGAAGGACGTCCCATGATCACAGACATTGACTCACCTGTTCCAGAGTTTATTAGTCGTTTGTTTAGAATTAGCAGTGATTCCTCTACCCAACTGTTCCTGAGCACAATGGAGGATAAGGTCCTTAGTATAGTGCATGAGGAATCAAATGAATCAATAGAAGATGTGGTGAGGTTGATTCTCTTGCACCTATTTGGGCCGGTTTTGTTTTCATAGGGGGGCTCCATGTGAGCCATGTGTGGGCTAGTTACATCAATGATCTGGCACAATATCCGAATATTCATGGGCGTGGTGTGCGCATCAATTCATTATACATGCCCTTGATTATGTTGTTGGATGCGCGAGCAAGCCTATGAACGACAACCAACGGTCCTTTTCAAGCACATTATTTGGCTGTGCTGCTGCTATGATGGTGTGTACTTGTGACTCAAGCATTTCTTGATGGTTATGTATTGTTTTCTGTTTAATGGAAGAAAATAATTTACTATTGGTATCTCTGATTGAATGTAATTCTATTGTAGGCATGGTTGTTTGAGCACAACACAGTATTTAGACCATTAAATCCCACTATCTGGCCATGGAAGTTGAAGTGGGGAAAAATGGAGTACAGCGGCGGCTTCAACAATAGAGAGTTTATTCGAAAAATAACTACTGGAACAATTAGTATATGATTGATACTCTCACTTCACCTCCGTTCATTGTTAATAATCTAGGTATGTACATTATTTATATTTGCAGGTGGTTGATACCTTCGCCCCAACCCATTATGAGTTGGAGCTACTTGGTGGTGCCCCAACATTAGCTGTTGGGGATGGTGGAGAGACGCAAACTCCTTTTTGTGATCCATACAACCTTGTAAGCATGCTCACTCATTTTGATTATATAATTGGAATTTTTATTCATATTAATTATTATTAAATATGTTGGACTATAGGCCCTACTTCCCATTTTTGTTGTTCTGATCGAAGTTGGGCCAAGCACAGGGCATAGTGCTGACACTATTTCATATTAGGCTAAAACAATGGTATGTAGAAGTTAATAGGATTTTTTTGAAATTACGTATTTTGCTTTAAATGTCTAATTTGGTGTTGTGATCTTGATGATGCAGGGTGTGTGTACACGTTGCATCGAATCCATTGAGTTTGAGCAGCTTAGTATGAAGGTAGCCCGAGTAGATTATTATGCTACTGAAGTTGGTCAACTGAGGTTAGAGGTTGATCGACTATGTGGGATATTGATAGCGAATGGCATCAATCCTGATGCCTTTCTTGTGCACATATCTCCAGTTGTACCTGGTAAAGATGAATGTGCGGGAGGGGCGTCAATACCAAAGGTGGACTCGTTTACCTCGCCCAATCCTAGGGATAGCATTCTTCCTTCGTGTGAGATAGTTTCACCCTGGTCATGGGTGAAGAATGTGTATAAAAGGGGGAACAACATGAGAAAGCGTGAGCACTTTCCTAGTAGTTTTGTTGTTTCCCCTTTCCGACCCCTTGGTAACGCTAGGAAGGTGGCTAAGGAATTTTCCATTACAGTTCGCACCAATGATTTGGTATGGCTTATGACGTGGTTATGTAATGTATGTTTTATTCAACCTTAAATATTTATTGGTTAATCATGCTTTTGTTTATTGTCACAGGTGGTAGAAGGTGGGCTATCAGTGTGGGCAGCATTTGCTTAAAAAGACCAAATGGCGGTGAAAGATTTGCAGTAAGTGCATAATTTCTTGCACAAGGAGATTTGGAAGTAAAAATGCTTTATTGGTTTAACATAACATAACAATATTCATGCACTAAAGCTATAAACCATTTCCATATATTTGTTGAACATGTTTTGTATTCTTTTTGTATGGATGTGTACGTGCTTAAGAACGACAACTTTTCACTAAGTGAAGCAAACATCATCCCCCTTTTTAAGATGAATGGTTGGTTGTCTGACGAGATAAGTACCATTTTTTTAATTATGCATTGTAATGATGCTTTGTTGATCTATTGTCATTACTTTGTATAGGTTATAGATGCGTATGGCAACCTATTGAAGACACGGAGGCAGAATTCCGTGAAATTTCAGTACATGCCTACAGTGGCTCAGGTGAAATACCCTTTTCTGCATTTGCAACATGATTGTACTACTTTCATGATTAGATTCACCAACCTTTCAGGGTCCATTACATGACTAGTAACAATACCTACATGAGGTGGTCTTAATAAATTGACTTGATTCCTATCTTTTGTGCATATTTTTTGGTTTCCTCTATTCAAGGATTTGCAACCAATGGGATGTTACCAAAGCTAAAACCATGGTTGGACCAATTGCAAAGAACCAGGTGCAGAAAGTCTTCATACCTATAAATGATCACTTTCATTGGCAACTATTGGTCATTGATATAGTATAGAGGAGGTTTCACTCGAATAGCTCTATCCATGGGTTGCTCTATAGGCTGTTCGCAGATAAAATGGTATGCATCCTCAACGTTATATAAGTCTTGTAAGGTTGCACTGCTAAATTGGTATCCTAACATTGTTATATTTTTTTTATCGCAACATAGCAACAAATTTACAAGACGGTTCTCAGTGACATTATTAGTGGCATTGGTGGGTGGCCTCATGAACCTGCCGGTTGAGCTCCCTACCAGGAAGGTGGAGACAATTGTGGTGTTTTTGTTATCAAGTATATGGATTGTCTGTCTAGGTCGGTGACATTTGATTTCTCATCGGTGCATATATTGATTATTATGTTTGTAATTTGATGTTTATGATGTCGATTAATCCAAACTCATATGTTGTGTTTTCAAATATAGGACACGATTTTAGTTATTTGATGGGAAACCGGTGTGCAACTACTACAGGGTAAACTAAGGTAGAATGCCCATACATCACATGAAGGCAAACTACACCTTTAAAGGTGAACGGACCCAGAGTTTAGATGATTCGGTCCTTGAGGCCTCTAGCACATACCCTATAATGACCATTGTGTCATTCCATCTTGGTATATACATACAATAATACACCAAATGTGAACTACACTGGGCTGAGACACACAATACTACTGATCTCATGCACACCACACATTCACGCCTATCGGCCGCGTCCGAAGGTGAACGGGCCCAGAGGTAGGCTGATCAAGTCCCTGAGGCCTCCATCACATGCACTATAATGATCATTGAGTCATTCCATATCGGTATGTTCATACAATAATATACCAAATGTGGACTACACTAGACTGAGACAAACAACATCAGCCATCCGTGCACACCACACGTTCACATCTATTGACTGCGTCCGCCGACGTCCAAAGGTGAACGGGTCTGGAGGTAAGCTGATCTGGTCCTTGAGGCCTCAGGCACATGCACTATAATGACCATTGAGTCATTCCATCTCGATACGTGCGTAAAATAATAAACCAAATGTGGACTACACTAGGCTGAGATACACAACACTACTAATCTCATGCAGACCACACGTTCACACCTATCAGCCGTGTTTTCCCGCATCCGAAGGTGAACGAGCCCGGAGTTCAGATGATCCGGTCCCTGAGGCCTTCGGCACATGCACTATAATGACCATTGAGTTAGTCTATCTTGATATGTTCATACAACAATCCACCAAATTTGGACTACAATAGGCTGAGACACACAACAGTATTGATCTCATGCACAACACATGTTCACACCTAACCGTCGCATCTGCCAGTGCCCGAAGGTGAACGGGCCCGGATTTTAGATGATCTGGTCCCTGAGGTCTCCTGCACATGCACTATAATGACCATTGAATCATTCGATCTCGGCATGTTCATACAATAATACACCAAATGTGGACTACACTAGGCTGAGATACACAACACTACTAATCATGCACACCACACGTTCACACCTATTGGTCGCGTCCACATGCGTCCGAAGGTGAATGGGCTCGGAGGTAGGCTGATCCAGTTCTTGAGGCTCCCGGAACATACACAAGAATGACCCATGGGCCAGCCCATCTCGTTATGTGCATATAATAATCCATGAAATGTGGAATACACTAGGCTAAGACACACAACAATATTGATCTCATGCACACCACACATTTACACCTATCCGCCGCGTTTGCCCGCATTCAAAGGTGAATGGGCCCAAAGTTCAGATGATCTGGTCCCTGAGGCCCCTAGCACATGCATTATAATGACCATTAAGTCGGTGCATCTCGATATATTCATGCAACAATCCACCAAATGTGGACTACACTAGGCTGAGACACACAACAACTAATAATCCCATGTGTACCACAAGTTCACACCTATCAGCCGTGTCCTCCCATGTCTGAAGGTGAGCGAGCTCTGAGATAGGCTGATCCAGTCCTTGAGGCCTCTGGAACATGTACTATAATGACCATTGAGTCAGTCCATCTTGATATATTCATACAAGACTCCACCAAATGTGGACTACATTAGGTTGAGACACACAACACAATCACCCCATGCACACCACGCACTCACACCTATCGACCGCGTCCGCCCACGTCCAAAGGTGAACGGGCCCTGAGATAAGTTGATCAAGTCCTTGAGGCCTCAGACACATGCATTATAATGACCATTGAATCAATCCATCTCGGTATGTTCATGCAACAACCCACCAAATGTGGACTACACTAGGCTGAGACATACAACAGCTAGTGATCCCATGCATCCCATGTGTTCACACCTATCGGACGCGTCTGCTAGTTCCTGAAGGTGAACAGGATCTGAGATAGGTTGTTCTAGTCCTTGAGGCCTTCGGCATATGCACTATAATGACTATTGAGTCAGTCCATCTCGATATGTTCATACAACAATCCACCAAATGTGGACTATAGTAGGCTGAGACACAAAATATTCATCCCATGCACACCATATGTTCATACCTATCGACCACGTTCACCTGTGTCCAAAGGTGAATGGGCCCTGAGATATGCTAATCCGATCCCTGAGGCCTCCAACACATGTATTATAATGACCATTGAATCAATCCATCTCGGTATATTCATGCAACAATCCACCAAATGTGGACTACACTAGGCTATGACAACAACAGTTAGTGATCCCATGCATACCACACGTTCACACCTATCGGCCACATCCATCGACGTCTGAAGGTGAGCAGGCTCTGAAATAAGCTGATCCGGTTCCTAAGGCCTCCAACACATGCACCACAATAACTATTGAGTCAGTCTATCTTGATATGTTCATAAAAAAAATCCACCAAATATGGACTACATTAGTTCGAAACACACAACACGGTCATCCAATGCACACCAAACGTTCACCTGCGTCTAAAGGTGAACGGGCCATGAGATAGCCTGATTCAGTCCCTGAAGCCTCCGACACATGCACTATAACGACCATTGAGTCAGTCCATCTCAATATGTTCATGCAATAATCCACCAAATGTGGACTACACTAGGCTGAGATGCACAACAGTTAGTGATCCCATGCATACCATACGTTCACATCTATCAGCCGCATCCATCCATGTCCAAAGGTGAATGGGCTTTGAAATAGGATGATCTAGTCCCTAAGGCCTCCGGCACATGCACTACAATGACCATTGAGCCAATCCATCTCGATATGTTCATACAACAATCCACCAAATGTGGACTACACTAGGCTGAGACACACAACACATTCATCCCATGCACACCACACGTTAACACCTATTGACTGCGTCCAAAGGTGAACGGACCCTAAAATAGGCTGATCTAGTCCCTAAGGCCTCCGGCACATACACTATAATGACCATTGAGTCGGTCTATTTTGGTATGCTCATGCAACAATCCACCAAATGTGGACTATAGTAGGCTGAGACACACAACAGCTAGTGATCCCATGCATACCACACGTTCACACCTATCGGCCTCATCCACCCGCGTCCGAAGGTGAATGGGCCCTGAGATAGGTTGTTCCGGTCCTTGAGGCCTTCAACACATGCATTATAATGACCATTGAGTCATTCTATCTCGGTATGTTCATGCAACAATCCACCAAATGTGGACTACACTAGGCTGAGACACACAACAGTACTAATCCCATGCATACCATTCACACCTATCGGTCGCGTTCACCCACGTCCGAAGGTGAACGAGCCCTGAGATAGGCTGATCCGGTCCTTGAGGCCTCCGATACATGCATTATAATGACCATTGAGTCGTTCTTTCTCAGTATGTTCATGCTATAATCCACCA